TGTCAGGAAGTATTGGATCCTGAACACTCACCCCGTGAGGGTGAGCAGCACAGACCAGAAGGTGCTCGACGATCTCACTATCTACATCGTCCACGACAGCGACGCCATGGCCGAGGAGGTCCGCTTCTCCTCGCCTGCGGCTTGGTGATACCTTCACATTTGGTGCAGTATGACGAATGTTCACTTGCAGCAAAGTGCTCTTCTTCTGAATTGCGTATGAGGTGGACAACGTTCCCAGCGCGCCGAAAGCAGCAGCATCGCGGTCGTTTCCGAGTGGGCCATCATGATGATGATGATGATGATGATGATGATGATGATGATGATGATGATGATGATGATGATGATGATGATGATGATGATCATCATCATCATCATCATCATCATCATCATCATCAGGCAGATCACCGCCATGGACACCCAGCCTTAACTTCTTGAACGCGGAAGAAGCCCCAGCCATCGGCTAGCAACCTGAGGATACACCAATCAAAGGAGGAGTTGTTCCTGGCGGCTTGGAGTGTATGGTTCGAGATATGTTGGCACCTCCGACGGTTGGCAGTGTTTTGTATAGGAGGTGAGCAACGCCAGCCATCACATGGTTAAAGGACGAAGACATGCGTTTTTTTGTGCCATCCAGACGTGACATCAGGCGTCATCGGCACGGATGCCATCGGATAGTGTCGCCAGAAATTCAGCCCCAAGACGACCATCGAGACCGGGCCGACGAAATTGAAACTCACGGGTGTCGACGGCAAACCCGCCCCTGGGATTGGCAAAGTCGTCTGGCCTTTGAGGACTCCGACTGTCAAGGACGCGACCTTCACTGGCGACGTGATTGGTGGTTATGGCAGCTTCTGTCCTGGTCCGACTCTAGATTGTTTTTCGGTGAGTTTGGACAGTATTTCATTCCAGTTGATGATACGCCAGTGAAGGAGGAAGTTGACCAATGTTACTTGCACGAACGCGTGATGCAACACATTAATAATTGGTTTGTTGGTATCAGACCTGTTTCCTCAACATCCAGGTCTCCGACGGCAGACTTTCGCTAAGATATGGCACCTTTGGGCACTGGTCTGGCATCAATGCACGTGCTACGGGACAGGCGCCAGCTCATCCAGCAACTGCAGACTCTTACCGCCGCATCTAGAACCTTCAGCATTCTATCCGACAGGCAAGCGAAACGACCGGAGGATGCCTGGCAACAGGGGCCTTTCACCTGGCGGGCGTCGAGAACGCTCAGAGCGAACAGCGTGCATCTACGCGTGGCATCGCGACGAATTTTACGGCATCAGAGCATTTTTCAAGGAATATGTCTTTTTCGAAGACGCAGCGTGTCTGGAAGGTCTGAAGTCAATCCGAGACTCGTGCGTATTGCTGTGACGCGTTTGCGGATGGGAGTGCTGAGCACCCGACGCAAATATGTTACACGGACTACCATGGTGGTCCTGAGTTCCACAGTCGTCCGAAGGTCCGGTCATTACGCCCAGCAGCGCTATCCAGTTCTTGCGGCACTGAAAGGAGAACGCCGTTGCGAGCGTGGACATGCAGGAGCACTTTAACGGCAGCAGCACCCTTGCATTATGGGCTTGTCGTAGCGACGTATCAGCATTGCTTCTGGCAGACATGAGGTGCGGCTGGGATACGGGATTGCCGAAGCATCAGGGCATCATCAATGGCTGCCACAAGACACTCAGTTTCTGGATCAAGTTCTTTGCTCCAGAATGCGCGCCTTGGTCGCGGGCAAGCGCTGCGGCAGATCCGAAATTGAAGGCTGAGTCGAGAATCCTGGACAAGTCACTGCTTCAATGTGCAGCAGTCACTTGCAAGTAGACGAAATTCTTTACGCTTCGCGTATCCCCACCAGCCCATCTCACAGCAGCAACTCTCGCGAAGCATGTCGACAGTTGTGTTTTTCAGGCGTGTGTCCGCTGGGCTCCGTATATCTCCCCTGTCCCTCCTTCCTCCCGCCTCCTTGTGAATCCTCCTTGTGGGGGGAGCGGGAGAAGGACGAGGCGGAGGAGGAGGGAGAGAAAGCGCTCCTCGTGATTTGAGTCGTTTGGGGTTTCTCGTCCTGGTGTGAGTCGTTCGGGCCCTTCTTCCTGGTGTGAGTCGTTCGGGCTCTTCGTGGTGTGAGTCGTTCGGGCTCTTCGTCCTGGTGTGAGTCGTTCGGGCTTCTCGTGGTGTGAGTTGTTCGGGCCCCTCATCCTGGTGTGAGTCGTTCGGGCCCCTCCTCCTGGTGTGACTCGTTCGGGTTCCTCGTGGTGTGAGTCGTTCGGGGCCCGTGTCGTGGTGTGAGTCGTTCGGGCTCCTCGTGGTGTGAGTCGTTCGGGCGCCTCGTCCTGGTGTGAGTCGTTCGGGCTCCTGGTGGGGCCTCTTGGGAGCCTCTTGGGGGCCTCCTGGGGCCTCTTGGGCGCCTCTTCGGAGACTCTTGGGAGCCTCTTGGGAGCCTCTTGGGGGCTCTGGGGGCCTCGTGGACGCCTCTGGGGTGCCTCGTGGGAGCCTCTGGAGGCCTCTTGGGGGCGGCTTGGGAGCCTCTTGGAGGCCTCTTGGGAGCCTCCAGGGGGCATCTTGGGGCCTCTTGGGGGCTTCTTGCGACCTCCTGAGAAGCGCAAATGAGCGCTACCCCCTCAGAAGGACAACATGAGCCAAAAACCTTCGTAAAATCAATAATTTTGGGAACAAGGAGCAGCAGCGCTGGCCCCTCAGACGGCCAAAATGGGGCCAACACCGTAGTCAAATCCAGGATTTTGGCTTCAGAGAAGAGGAGAGCATTTTTTCGTGGTCCCCCCGACGGGGCCAGAATCCTCGTGAGGGTCGTCGTTTTTTTCGCCCTCCCAGGAGTCGAAAAAGACCCTTCTGACCACCCGCGGGACGACCTCTCCGGGCCCAGGGGGAGGGGGTAGGGGGAGGGGTAAAACCCTCCCCGAAGGGGAAGAAGGGGGGTTGGGGGGTTGAGGACAGAGAGAGCTCTCTAAACCACTCACGCCCAAAGGGCTGGTGGGACTCGATCTCGCGGACCTACGTCGTGGAGAGCCCAGGCAAGATCATCATCTGGGATGATCGCCATTCGAGGAGGTAAAGCGCGACGACGGGCGCTCAATCGTCGCGTCTGCGACCAATGGCAGCATGGGTTACAGAACTCCGAAGGCGCGCCCGTGCAGAAAAGGGCGGAATTTGCGACGTCCTCTTCGATTCAGGCGGAGGGCAATCTTGCGCAGGTGCGTTCGGCCTCCTGCATGGTTGGCTGGTGGGGTCGGGGCGACGAGTGCCAGTTTGTGCCCCGAGAAGCTGTGCCTTGACATTCTGCGTGGTATTTGTCGGCGACTGGAGCGCGTGTTGAACGGCCCGCTGGATTCGGTGTCGTCCGACAATGGTACGGCGTGCGATCGGACCTCCTATGGCGGGGCGACAACTGACAAACACATTCGACTCTGCAAGGGGGCGGCGGCGGACTTGTGACCGATGCGAGAATGGCGCCGAAGCGACTGAATCACACGCTCGGTCAAAGGTTTGCAGGTTTGACCCGGCTTGTGGCCCACCAGCAGATCCAGCTCTAGTTCCAGCTGTGGAAACATTTCCATCAGCGCCAGCGCCGCCAGAAACAGCGTCTGACCAGCCGCCGCAAGGACGACAGCTAGTGCAGCAAGACGAAGCATCTCAGCCAGAGCAGGTCAACAGGTCGCTCCTTGAGTTGCCTCCTGGGCTAGCTCCGCGGAGCAGGCCCCGCATGAAAGACGAGTTGCGTAGGCGACGCCGCGAGTCAGCCTAGCATCCTCGAGGGCAATCCCTCCGCAATGCTGGCCATCGAGCCCACTTTCGACGCGCGGCGCTTTGAGCGTCAGCTCGAGGAGGCGACCGCAGAGCAAACGAGGTTGGCGCTGCTGTCACATCAAGTTGTGGCATGTGACGCCAGATGAGGTGTCGCGATTGCTGCTGGCATGTGGAGTGGCGCCCGAGATCATCGAGCTGGCGCCAGGAGCGTGCGCGGCTCTCGGCAGTGCATGTCGCGAGTGCGCGCGCCTGCTGCGTCGCCCAGTATGTCGAGCGCGTTTCCCCCGATGAGATTCGACGAGCAGGTCTAGAAAGCCCAGTCCCTTCTCTCGGGTCGCGCGTGGTTTATCCTGGTTGGCGAGCGCATCCGCCGCGCGGCGACGCGCGAGCTCAGCGCCGAGAGCGCGCTGGGCAAACTTCGAGGACTTTGAGCGCGGGGTCAGGTTCTTCGCCCTCATGGGGCGCATCGTTTCCGATCTGGAGGGCGCTCTTGCCAGCGACTTGGTCGGGGCAGCATGTGGTGGATAGTCCATTGAACGGGGGCTTGCTGGCGCCGCCCCTAACAGGGGCCAGCGCGCCGCGACTGGCCGGGTGGAGAGTCGCATCCGCATGGCGAAAGCCATCGATTTTCAGGACAGGGTCAACGCCGTGCAGGGCGGCCGTGACTTTTCGGGCGAGACCCTGATGTGCGAGGCTACTGCGGCGCATGATCTCCGTCTCAACAATGGCGGCATTGCGCCGGCGAGTGCCCTGCCAGGCTGCGCGCCTCGGGACTTCTATGATGGCGGAAATTCCATGGCCACCTTGGCCAGCGAAGCGCTGGAGATTTCGCCCGCCACGTTTGAGTCGAATTCCGC